CTCTTTTAAACAAAAAACTAATTTTGATTTAAAATATCATTCTGTCTATATAATTGTATGCAATTTCAGTAAATCTTTTAAATAGTTATTATTAATTTTTTCTACTAAAAAAAGTTATACTTATATTCTATTGATAAACTATCAAATATATTTACCTACTATTTTTTTAATATTTATTATTATTTAATTAATTTCAACCGTTCAATATTTATTAAAACTATAATTAATTTGATTGATGTATTTTTCAGTTTCGTATTTGTACTTTCTGTTATCTAATTTCATTCTTTGTATTTTTAATAAATGTTGTCAATATATTCTCGATAAATCTTAAATTTAATTATTTAAAGTAAATTTACCGTATAAATATATTTCCAAATTTTATAAACTAAGTAAATTCACCATATAAATATATTTTCCCTAGTACAAAAAGTCAACAAATTTAAAATTTATAAACGAACCTAGTACAAACCCTACTTTTTTAAAAAGTAACGACATGGACTAAATTTAAGATTTTTTAAAAATATATGTACTCAGTTAAAGTATTTAAAAGTATGATCGAAGCGAAGTGAAAATTTAACCCGAACACATATTATCAATGCTTTTTTTGAATATTCGTGTAATAATTTAAAATTTTATCCATCCGTTTACATAGTGAATAAATGTAACTCAATAAAAAAGACATACCGCACGAAAAAGTAGTTTTCTCTTTGAATATTCAGCACCGTCTTCTTATAACAATCAAACGTTCAATTTCTCTGTATCGTTTCAATTTTGATCAGATGTCTATCTAGCAAACCCGACATTCAAGAAAATAAAGGTAAAATCCTTAAGTGGAACATGGACGAAATACGGTTCAAGATATGCATAAAACCAGTTTAAATAAATGTACACGAAAGTCAACAATCCAAAAGCAAATTAATGAGAAAGCTCCCAAGTTAACATCTGTTTAGTTATGTATGGTTTACTTCCAATTCTCTATTTTGAACATGTCATGTTATTTCGTTACACAGCTTCCAGCTGATCATAGCAGCAGCTTTCAACACTAACGTTTCAACTGCTCTACTGCTAATTCATGGTTAGCCTGCAAGAGGATTAGCGTGTATCGTCACCCGATTGAGCCTGATCTCCGCGAGAGGACGATCTCCCGGTCCGGTTTGAGTCTGCACTAAGCAATACATCAGCTTAAACATATATGCAGATGCAAAGAAGGTAAACAGTTTTAACTGCTATGGTACGAAAGATATCGAAAGACAATAATTCACTAGATAAAGACTATGCAAGTAGTAAATTTATACTTCAGATCACACATGAGAAGCTACCGGCAAAGTATGCACGTGAATCTTCTCTAGCTATAGATTTAAGACTTCTTTCTAAAGACAAGAAAAGCGATATGTAACAACCAAAGCCCAAGGTCACTGCTAGCACGTATTGTCCGTTTTGGTCGCTTACGTATCGCGTCAGTCTCACGGTTTTTAAAACGTGTTTACTAGGGAGAGGTTTCCACACCCTTATAAGGAATGTTTCGTTCCCCTCTTCTACTGATGTGGGATCTCATAGTCTACCCCCTTGGGGGACCGCGTCCTCACTAGCACACCGGTGTCGGGCTATGATATCATTTGTAACAGCTCAAGCCCATCGCTAGCAAATATTGTCCAATTTGACCCATTACATATTGTCGTCAGCCTCATGATTTTTAAACGCGTCTACTAGGGAGAGGTTTCCACACCCTTATAAGGAATGCTTCGTTCCCCTCTCCAACCGATGTGGGATCTCACACGATATGACTTTCTTTTAAAATTTGTGAGTGCCCAGCCTGCTCATAGGCAATTCAACTAATTTCACAAGCTAATTACTTAACCTAACAACAATGGATTATCAAAGCTGAATCCATGACGACAACGTTACCTTTTCCATGATGTCAAGTACTTCAAACCCATGAATCACTCTGCCGAACACAGTATACAATCCATTTAAATGTGGCTGCTTTGCATATGTTATAAAAAACTGGCTTCCATTCGTATTTGCTCCACTATTAGCCATTGATAATATCCCTCTTGCATTGTGCTGTAGAACCAAAACAGAGAAAAACAATTTTAGAATAGGAATCAGATTAGATAATATTAGTAGCATGGGACAGGAAGGCTAATCGAACTTCCGACTTGAACGTCAGCTTCACCAACACGGTCAAGGATGCAATGTTTCACAAAATAAGCATGTCAACCATTGTATTAAGGTCAGAACAAGAAGCTCGAGTGTTCGTAAAACCATTACATGGCATGGTATACATCTCATTACATACCTTGAGTGACTCCCTTATCTCGTCATTAAACTTTTTACCCCATATGCTGGTTCCCCCTTTTCCCGTGCCTGTTGGATCTCCACCTTGTATCATAAAGCCTTTGATGTTGCGGTGGAATATGGTTCCATCATAGTAACCACTTGCACACAGTGCTAAAAAGTTCTATAACCAATAAATATTGGAGTCATCAGTACAGACTTGAAAATGACAATAATCCAGCAACAGAACATGGATGGAAGAAGAATTCTAGTCACTATTTCCTGAGCCTTCTAACATCAAAAGTTCACTCGTTATACGATAACAAGCTGAGCTACAATAGAAGTATCAAAGGTAAATAATCCAACATACAAAAACCTAGTACATAATCTAGATTCTAAGACCAATGAAAATTCATTGGTAACATCTCGATGTAATTACCAATATATGGCATATCAATATTGCTCGGGTTAGATGAACGCTGCCATCGTTTGAACCAACGAAGGAGAAAAGGCACCATAACTTTCATCAACTTAATTTCAGTTAAACCATTAGCCCAGGAACTACTTACAATCTTCATTGACATTTCTTAATTATTGCCCACCACACTGTGAAACAAAAGAAAAATGACAAGCCATAAACCTCTAGCAATTAGCAAAAACTGCGCTCTCGAGGATTTGTAGCACTTCCAATTAAATGCAATTCCAGATAGCCCTGTCAGAAGTGCAGTGGTTGCACAAACTAATAAACACCGCTGATAACAACGCTATCACAACAAATTGCAACCTATCTCCTTGAGTAAGCACTTTATCTCGATGAATTAAGTTCTAGTCGCGGCTAAACGCCGTGAAAATCTAAGAAGAATCTGGTCATCTTCGCGTATACAAAGGATGAGGAAATCAAATTATCGCTAGCAGTAGGCAATAACTTCTTGCATAAACTAAAATAGTTTTCCAAACAAGTAGCAAAATTAATAGCAGAAAAGACGAGCGATGAACTTGCCTCGGCAGACTTCGGGACTTCATCGCAAGAAATCTCGCACTTGATGTCTCCGAGATTGGTGTGCAAAGTAACAGACTGCGAACACGAGTGGAAACAAGGGATTCAGACGCCTGTAATGAAATTCCACCATAGACAGATAATCGAAAGAAGAAGAAGCCAAGGTGTTCGATCAAATGACCAAGAGAATTACCCACCATTTTCAGAGCTTCTCTACGAGCTTGCGGTTCGGGTTCCCAACTCAATACGAAGCTCCTAATGGAAATGCAATTCGAAAAATAAATCTTAAATTACAAATTTATTAACTTTATCGATGTCATTTCCTTTTAAATTTACAAATTTAGTTTTTTTTTTTAATTATTATTTTTCATATATTTTAAAATTAATAAATCTACCAAACCCAAAATAAAAATTAAATTCATAATTTTAAACTTTTTTTTTATGTTTTTCAACAATGTATAAGACAATATTTGTGTAATTTGATTTACTTTTAATATATTTTATATCTCAAACTTTATTTTAGTTTACTATAATATTAATTATCGAATTAACATGGATTTTACTTTATTTTTCAAATATAAACAAATATTTTAAATTTTAATTTAAGTCATGATTTCAATTGGCTATAAGCTACTCTAAATTTGATTTATAACCGTATAAAAAGTCACTCACGTCGTTGTTTTTGTTGGATGTTAAAAGTCCCACATCGATTAATTTAGGGAATGATCGTGGGTTTATAATAAAATAATACTCTCTCAATTGGTACGAAGCCTTTTGGGAGACCCAAAGCAAAGCCATGAGAGCTTATGGTCAAAGTGGACAATATCATACCATTGTGGAGAATCGTGTTCGTCTAACATGGTATTAGCCATGCCCTACAAGCTTACTCAAAGGCATAGTAAAAAATTACTAAGACTCCAAAAAGAAAAATGAGTCATGAATGATCATGGGTTTAAGGTATGCTTCATTTTCGAGAAGCCCAAAGCAAAGCCACGAGAACTTATACTCAAAGTGGACAATATCATACTATTGTGGAGAGTCATGTTTGTCTAACAGTTTCGTATTTTTGTGATTATTTATGCTGTAAATTATGGACTTTCCATTTGTATAAAAATAGTGTTGTTGTTGTTATTATTATTATTTTTTAAACACGAGATTATAATTTAATTTGGAAAGGTATGAGATTATAATTATGTATGATATATTTAATATTTAGAAGACATCTAATATAATTAAGATTCACAAGCTATAAATTTAATGTTTTATTTTATATATGTGAAATAAGACAATTTAATATAAAGTTTAAAATTCATAAATTTATTAAATATTAATTAAAATTTGTCATGAAGCTTTTAATTTAACCTAATAATGAACTGCGATAAATTTATTTGGAAATTTGTGAAAATTTAAAATAAAAAAAAAAAAAAAGAAATTAAGAAGGTGACAAAGAAGCAAGAATATTATAGCAAAAGGCAGAGCATGGGGCCCACACTGAGTGATTAGACGGCTCGACGAATGACGTGTCATCTGATCTAATGGCCACGTACGCAAGCACGACAAGAGCGCGTGACTGACTAAACCAGTCCCGCCAGAAAGGAGAAACTGGCAGTTCCACCAGTAGAACCGTGTGTTTCACGCGCGATTTCAGAAACGCGCGAACCTTGTGAGGTAGATTTTAGAGGCAAACCGCTGAGAGGAAATGGAAAAAGGCCAAAAAAAAAAAAAAAAAAAGAGAGACTGACAATATGTCAGAAAACTCTGTCACCCCTCTTTAACTCTCTCTTCTCTGTATCTCTCGCGAGAGAGCTTCAAGATTTTGGCCTTTTCCGATTCGAAAATTTGTTCATCTTCATTGCATTTAAATCCCGCAGCGATGCATTGAGATTCGAGCTCATGTTTACGAAATTCCTATGGAAGTTCATCCGCTTCAGAGCTTTCCTTCTTCGGAAACTGGTATTTCTGTCTCTTTCTCTGTTTTACTACTCACTATGTTTGGTTATGTACTCTGTTTGTTGTAGACTTCTTTCCTTCTTTTTACTCGTTGTGAATGTTTAGGGAGAGGATTAAGACGGCGGAAGACCGATGAGGCGACGACGGCCGCGATGATGATGAAGGTTAAAAAGGAGAGTAACCAGACGGAAAACGACGAGCTATCGGCTCCGGTATCGCCATCTATTAATCTCGGACTACAGATTGGCACGAATTCGGCGGGAAGTCGAAACGAGGGAACCTCGATTGTTCACCGGTCGAGGGAGTCGCTTATTACGGTTGGTCAATTGCAGGAGCTTGAGCAGCAGGTTCTGATTCACAAATACCTTGCTGCTGGTCTCCGTGTTCCTACTCACCTTCTTGTTCCAATTTGGAAGAGTGTTGCCAGGACCTTGGGCTCTAATGTCAATGGTATCTACGAGCGCTACCGAGTTTAATTCTTTGCGATACCTAAAACTGTTTCCAATTTCTTGCTGCTGTTTATGAAGTTATTGCTGATGAGTTCCGTGTCGTATTTCAATTCAAACAGGTGTGATTTCATAGAATAGATGCTCTGAACTTGAAAACAGTTGCCATGCTAGAGGTCTCATAATGTATATTGTATATATTTCTTCTGAATTTCTCTGTTCGCAAGTAATTCTAGCAAATGCAACTGTTCTATTTTATCAGAAACTTCGATCGCGTCATAGTTTTTGAAGTCTTGATGAGATTTCTTTTTCCATTAACGATGAACAAATTGACGCAAGAATCATGCCCGAAACTTGTTGATTAGGTAGAACTATTATTTTCACAGATCTTAATATGGTTAGGGTTCGAAATTATTTTTATTCATGTTTTCATGTGGAGTCAGTGGTTTGTTTTGTGTAAACATCCCAGCAGAGACGAACGGCCTAAATGACCTTTTTGTGCTTTGTCCTTTTTCCAACACCTATTGGGTGCAATTATTTGATTGTTTTGGCATTGTATGGGCACAGCCATTCTATGTGACCCATTGCTGGACTCAGGAAGGAACCTTTTGTTTACTAGGAAATTGAGTACCCTTTGGATTCTTGTGTTTATGTTTATAGTGTTGGGTGTCTGATTGGAAAGAAATAACGCATAGATTTATATTTATCATCATCATTTGAAAGATTATAGACAGTTGAGTTTATTGAGGATTCAACGAGGCTATAATGAGTCATTTCAGAAGAACTTGATTTCAATAACTTAATGAGGTGCCCTCCTGGTTTGAAGACATGAACAATAATCAGAATGACTGGGATTTTGCTTTTTTAGCCAATCTTTTTAATTTGTTTGTAAATGTTGTCTCTGTCTGCAGTTATAGGATTCAATCCTGTGGGATTTGATTACGGAAGTATGATGGAGCCTGAGCCATGGAGATGCAGAAGAACTGATGGGAAGAAATGGAGATGTAGCCGGCAAACTGTCCCGCATCAGAAGTACTGTGAACGGCACATGCATAGAGGTCGACAGCGTTCAAGAAAGCCTGTGGAAGCTTCAGAAAACGACTCTACATCAAAGAAAATTCTGCTCAATAATCCAGATAGAGATATAAGATGTACGCTTGATGTTACCACTGCTAACCCCTTTCCCCACGTTGGTGCTGTAGTCCCTGAGCCCAAAACAGTTTCCTACGCCCGTCCGAAATCAGCTACTGAAACAATTACCAGCAGCATGCGTGGTGCATCGGCGATCGGTATGAGCTGTGCTGACGCAACTAAAACCATCAGAATGATCCCTTCCAGTGCTGCTACATGTATTACAACAGTTCCCAGTATTAATCCAACTGCTACTACCAGCGTTCCCACTAGCTATATAGTCAACTTGAAAGATGCTTGCAACATGAATCTTCGTGAGAATTGCAGCAAGAGCCGTATTGACTTTGGAAGAAATGATATCAATATCCAGAAGATCACATCTCCAGGTCTAGGGTTCTCTCCTAACAGCGTTCTTCAAGGTATTATTTCAGGATTAAATGTTCTTGTGCTGCATAATGGTTATATATTTTTTAAAAAATTGTTTTACAATAATAATGGTTGTTTTTTTATTTGATCTTTTTATAATGTATTGTTTGGAAGGCTATCAGTTTTGCCAACGATTAGTACTTGATTATTTTGTCATGTCATAAACTATGCAATTTATCTTTGATGATTTGGATGGAAACTGCTGTACTTGTGATGTTCTTGCTATAAAACGTTGTCTGGTATCTGAAAATGGAACTTGACAACAAAATATTTGAAACAGTTAATTGGTTTATAACGAATCGTGCCTTATTATATTCGAGATTTGCTGCTCGTATTCCATTTTGTATTGCTTGTAGAATGCCTGATCTGAATCCATGCTGCTTCTTAATCGAGTCTTAAACTAATGTTATCCACCCCCCCAGTTTCTGGCTGCAGCAGCTCATTATGCGACAGTAAAATCAACCTTGAACGTGAACCCGGACGGTGTAGAAGAACGGATGGGAAGAAGTGGCGATGTCGGAGAGATATTATTCCAAATCAGAAATATTGTAGTCTGCATATGCACAGAGGTTCAAAGAAGCATTTGAAGCCTTCCCAGAATGCACCCGTCCTTGCCCCTTCTGCTGCTACCTATGGCTCTTCTCTGCTACCAACGCCGCTCAAAAAACTCGAACCTGCAACCCCAAACACAAATCTTTCAATGTCAATCCAGGCTGACGACAAACAGAGACACAATGAAGCAAGGAACAACGCCAGCAGTAGCAGTGAGACCACCATTACCGACACCACGATCACGGCATAAGAAAATGTTCCTCCCCGACAAGGTATGAATCGGAATCCAATCTTCTAGTTCTGCTGCTTTGTTTCGGATTTGTACCATTTAGGCACATAGACAAGAGTGGGACAATCTTGTTTTAGGAGGAACAAAAAAAGGAGTAATGGTTGAGCTTTTGAGCTACACGGCATAATCAAATTTTCTTGTACTGAAAAGGGAAGAGAAGTTTGGACATAGGTGGTTTATAAATATGCTTTGGGTTTGGATTATTAACAGAACTGCGCTTAAATTTAAATTTTTTAAAATTAAATAATATTAACCAACGTCCAAATATTTATAATTTAACGTGCAGCCAAATTGTTCTTATTTTTCTTCAACTGAATTGGATGGATAACTGTGAAATTTGTAAAGGCTAGTAGCTATTATTAAATTAGTTTATTCCGGTGACAATATTAGTTTCGTATGGTTTGGGATTTTGAAGATGTCAAATTCTTACCGTTAGATAAGTACATATAAAGGGCTGTCTTAATCATTATACTCCGAAGAAATAATATACTTCGTATTTGATCGGTTGCATTGGTTTATTTTCATTCGAACTAGACTATAGCCTCCAAAGGAAAAAAGGTACGATTTCACAGCAATCCTCCCATCGAACGAATTGGACCATAATGCTTCTTCTGAGGCATATGGAGAGCCCTCGAACAATTCTTCTTGTTCGAGCGCTTTATGGATGTTACTGAGTTAAGAACTCGACTTTAATTGTTAACTTCGAGGCATTAACTCTCATCGCTTTGTTTTTTATTTATTTTTATGAATTCACGATCTTCCTTTTAATTATCTAACGTGGGACTCCTTCCTGCAATTCTCAATAATATCAACCTCAAATAAGTATGTGTCAATTACTGCTCAATTATGCTATGCTGGCGTTGACAAAGATTATTTATAAAGGAAAAGGTAAGTATCATTTATTAGGTTTGCTTAAAAAAATGAAAAATAAAATTATTGCAGGGTCTATTAGGTATTTGAAATATCAATATTAAAAGATAAATACACATAAATTACAGATTTGAAACACAGACATCAAATGACCAAAATTGAAATAAACTACGATTAATTTTATTAAATTTCATAAATAATTTTAGACGTCCTACATAGTTCATTGATTAATTATATTAAATTCAACTCAATCCAAAAGGGTAAAAAAAAAAAGATTTGGGAAGAAATTTGTAATAATAATAAAAAAAAGAATAGTAAATTATTAAGAAACTGGTAATATTTAACCCTAAAATAATTGTAAATATTTAACCTTAAAAAAAAAAAAAAAAGAAAGGCAAAAAACAGCGGAAACCGAGATTTAGAAATGACAGAATATATGCTTATCCTAATTTATTTAGCTTAAAGCGCACACCTCCCTGGCCTACGTTGTAAAAATTGTTTTATTTATTTATTTTTATTTTTGGGAAAATTGTTTGGATTTTAATTTTTGACTGGGCAACAAATCCAACGGGCGGAGCCTCATAAAATAGCTCCGTAATCTTCCCTCCCTCTCGCGCTCATTTCGCATCATCTCTCTTTCTCTCTCTTCCATCCCCGCTAATTTTCTTGAAAGACCTATTTTCTCAATTTTCGCTTGGTCGGAGTTGCGAATCGAAGAAGAAGATTTCGAGCCTGACTTGATAATTTGGCTTCACAATCAAGTTTTCGGTTCCATCTCCGTCTCTCCTGCCGTCTCTTATTCATTCCTCTGCAACAACAATGTCTGAATCACTCTGATTCTCTCGCATCGTCGCATTCGTATGTTTTCCGCTTCATCGGTTTTGGATCGTTCATATCTCGTACGTATATTTGCCTTTTGTCGATTCATCAATGTGCAATGCTTCTGTGGATGAATGGTGTGGCACCTGCTTAAGCTTGATCCATTCACTACGTTGTATCGATAAGGTCAACGTGAGAATGAATTGATTGTTGGTGATTTTAGAAATGGAACGTTTCAGGTGCTACTGGCGTTTGTTATGCAACATAGGTGCAGGGATCTTCTCGTGCATGCTTTATTAATCTAGATCTGCGTCTATTTAGAATTAACATTTATTGATCTCGTCCAATTAAACCACTTGCTTTCTGACCTGACATTCTACTTGGTTCCGAGAAAGTTGAATTAGGTTGAATACAGGAAGACGATTGGAAATCCTTTTCTGTTCGCATAGTTTGCTTGTGATGGAAGCATCTTAAGCTCCACTAGCTGCACGGTGGTGTCTATAGTTTTATATTCTCTCAACGGGAGTTCAATTGTCCGAACATGCTGAATACAAGCGTCAATTTTGTTTAATTTTTAGTCTGTTTCGCTAAATTAGTTTGTGGGTTCTATCTTTTCGTGAAAATCTTACTAGCCAGGTTGGGTTTATTTTGACTGACCTGCCTGATAAGTGTTTTGATGAATTTCACGGGAACTTATATCAATATAACCTGTTCTTTTAGAACTTCCATGCGAAGGATATTTACGAATTTTATTCTATCCAAATGTTTGTATTTGGTGAATTGCTGTTGATGAAGTCTTGGCTTAAGATATATCTTTTTTTTTTTGGTTTAAAATATTATTTTCTTATGGTGTTAATTACTCATTGATGGGACAAGTTAGAAGAGGGGAATTCAATGGATTGAATAGTATATTTCTTGAAATGGATCTATTGTTATACTCAGATAAACTACTTCTCTCTTGTAGATGGCCTTCTCTCTATAAATATGAAAGAGTGATTTGCTAGATTTCTAAGACAGAAAACCATGGATGAAGAGGAAGAAACTAAAAAAGCAGAAGAAAATTATGAGAATGATTCAGACAATGAAGTTACAAATGATGCACAGAAAAGCTCCCAGCCATCTCAAGAACACACGAATATTGATGGTGATAAAGCTGATAAAGTTAGTGATGGTGTAGTCTTGGGAGGGGTTAATAATGTGACTACAGTTGAAGATGAAGACCAGTTTGAGCAGGTGTGTTTGAAAGACCAGGAGAAGACTGCTGGTGAATTATCCGGTGGTCTTTTAGATTCCGAGCGATCTTCGAATTCTGAAGATGCAAGACTTTCTTCTGGTGCAGTCCAAGAGTCTTCCCAACATATGACTGGAACATTTGGTGCGGAATCTGACGACTCTCCAGTTGGTCAACTACAATATGAAAGCCATTCTTTTAGTCCAGGGGCTGATAAGAGACTGGGTCATTCTACTAAACCATCAACCTCATCAGCTAGTTTTGATTCGGGATATTCCCCTGTTGGTTCACCACAAAAGTTTAAACCAAAATCTGTGATGCCCAATGTGTCTCCAGAGTTGTTGCATTTGGTGGATTCCGCAATAATGGGGAAGCCTGAGAGTTTGGACAAGTTGAAGAATGTTGTGAGTGGTAAGGAAAGTTTTGGCAGCAGCGAGGAAATGGAAAGTGTTGCTTTTTCAGTAGTTGATTCTCTCCTTGCGACAATGGGTGGTGTTGAAAGTTTTGAAGAGGACGAAGAGAACAATCCTCCTAGTGTAATGCTAAATTCTCGTGCTGCCATAGTAGCTGGGGAGCTTATTCCTTGGCTTCCTTGTCTGGGTGATAATGAGATGATCATGTCCCCAAGGACAAGAATGACCAGGGGACTGCTTGCTATTTTACAGGCCTGTACCAGAAACAGAGCCATGTGTTCTATGGCTGGTCTGTTGGGAGTGCTTCTAAGGTCAGCTGAAACAATTTTTGTGCAGGATGTAGGTTCCTCAGGCAAAATGAGTTGGGATGGAGCTCCTTTATGCTATTGTATTCAGTACTTGTCAGGGCATTCACTAAATGTTTCAGACTTGCGTTCATGGTTTCAAATTATTACAAGAATACTTGCCACCAAATGGGCAGCTAAACTATTGCTTGCATTGGAGAAGGCATTGTGTGGAAAAGAGTCTAAGGGACCCACAAGTACATTTGAGTTCGATGGTGAAAGCTCCGGTTTGTTAGGTCCAGGGGAGAGTCGTTGGCCATTTTCAAATGGTTATGCATTTGCCACATGGATTTATATTGAGTCATTTGCAGACACATTAAATACAGCTACTGCTGCTGCGGCAATTGCTGCTGCAGCAGCAGCCAAGTCTGGAAAATCATCTGCCATGTCTGCTGCAGCAGCTGCAAGCGCACTTGCTGGTGAAGGGACGGCGCATATGCCCCGCCTTTTTAGTTTTTTATCTGCTGATAATCAGGGAATTGAGGCATATTTTCATGCACAGTTTTTGGTTGTTGAATGTGGAAGTGGAAAAGGAAGAAAGGCTTCATTACACTTTACACATGCATTCAAGCCACAGTGCTGGTACTTTATTGGTCTGGAGCATACTTGCAAGCAGGGGCTTATTGGAAAAATTGAGAGTGAGTTAAGGTTGTATATTGATGGGGCCTTATATGAAAGTCGACCTTTTGAGTTTCCTCGAATCTCCAAACCACTTGCATTTTGCTGCATTGGAACAAACCCACCTCCTACAATGGCTGGTTTACAGCGCCGTCGTCGCCAATGCCCTTTGTTTGCTGAGATGGGGCCCATTTATATCTTCAAAGAGCCAATTGGTGCAGAAAGGATGACACGCTTAGCATCTAGAGGAGGAGATGCGCTACCTTCTTTTGGTAATGGGGCTGGACTACCATGGCTTGCAACGAATGATTATGTGCATCATATGGCAGGAGAGAGTTCTCTTTTAGATGCAGATATTACAGGATGCCTTCACCTTCTTTATCATCCGAGTTTGCTTAATGGTCGTTTTTGTCCAGATGCTTCACCCTTAGGTGCTGCAGGTTGGTGAATTTTCACGTCTGAGTTTGTTATTTTAGAAATGATAGGCAACATATGGATCAGGAGGGCTATATAATGTTTTTGTCAATATGTAGTTATATTAGATACTTAGAGCGAGTTTGGAGTGTGGGTTAGACTTAGGGTGAGCTTGACTTACTAAGCATAGTAAGCCATGCTTGGGGTGAGAGTTTCTAAGTTGAGGTTTGACTGGGCTTGAATTGTAACCCACTGTTCAAGCCTCCACATAATTTTTCCTAATCTAAAGCTTCCTAAACCAACACCTGAAACACAGTTTTCCTAAATCCTCTAGGCTCAAGAGGTTAAATCTGTGTCCCAACAGCCCGGAAGTACCTAAATATATTGATGTCTACATGCATACATATGAGAGAGATCCTATAATTTTTCACCCAGCTGACATTCTTGAGTCTTCAGGGACTTCAAAGCTTCTTTATGGAATTTTACATGATATTCATTTTCATGTTGCTTGACTCATCTTTCTTTCGCGATTCAGGCACACTAAGAAGACCGGCTGAGGTTCTTGGGCAAGTCCATGTTGCTACGAGAATGCGACCGGCGGAGGCTCTGTGGGCCTTAGCTTATGGAGGTTCTATGTCTTTACTTCCTCTGGTAGTAAGCAATGTGGATGAAGCTAGCCTACAACCCCAAGAAGGGAGCACTCCTCTTTCTTGTGCTACGACTAATCTTGCTGCCCCAATATTTCGAATAATCTCCATGGCTGTTCAACATCCGAAGAATAATGAAGAATTCTCTCGTGTTAGAGGACCCGAGATTCTTTCGAGAATTTTAAACTATCTCCTGCGGACTTTGTCTTCGCTTGATCCTGGAAAACATGATGGAGTTGAAGATGAGGAACTTGTCGCTGCTATCGTCTCCTTATGTCAGTCCCAAAAGAGCAATCACATACTTAAAGTGCAGCTTTTTAGCACCTTGCTATTGGATTTGAAAATATGGAGTTTATGCAACTATGGACTACAAAAAAAGCTTTTGTCAACACTTGCTGACATGGTTTTCACAGAATCATCAGTAATGAGGGATGCCAATGCTATTCAAATGCTTCTTGATGGCTGTAGAAGATGTTACTGGACAATTGGTGAAAAGGATTCTGTCAATACATTCTCTTTAAATGAAGATCAACGTCCAGTAGGGGAAGTGAATGCATTGGTTGACGAACTCTTAGTGGTTATTGAGCTTCTAATGGTCGCAGCTCCTCCCTCACTGGCATCAGATGATGTTCGCTGTTTGCTTGGTTTCATGGTTGACTGTCCACAACCAAATCAGGTATACATACTTTATGAATTCTAAATTGGCACTTGAGAACATATATGGATAATCTTTCTTTTATTCTTCTTTTTCTCCCTGGGATTGGTATATAATCCGCTAGCTTTAAACACTGAAATATCAGCAGTTACTTGCCTATATCTTGATCTTCATTTAACTCACCTTCGGCTTCTGGATGGAGATTCTGGGGCTCCTGTGGCTGGATTTATCAGAAAGTTTAAAATTTTCCCAGTAACCTCTCTATCCAGAAAAAGCTCTAACCCCTTTTCTGCCATCTAATAGGAAAAAAGTGACAGAAAGATAATATGTGAAGAGGAAAAAAGTTATTTGAAAAGTTATCACCATAGATTTTGTCCTTTTTTTTTTCTCCTCATGCATGATTTTACCACTACTTATGTTGAAACATTGAAATTTGGAAGACTTATCTGCTTTTCTATTTGATTTTTGATTTAGAATATTCATGAGCTTTGTTGTAGTCTACATTCTTCCTTGGCTTTCCTATTGGCCAGGCTTTTTGATTGGCAAGGAGCTGTCCCCAACCC